CGAAGTTTAGGGGAGGGAATTCTTGTTTAACTCAAGAAAGTTTTATACGAGATTCAAAGTACGTGGACCGTGCTTCCGCTTTTTTTTGTCGCGCGGTGAAGGAGACGCGCTTCGTGATGTTTTTTTTTTTTTTTTTTTTTTTTTTTTTTTTTTTTTAGTGGACGATATGTTTGATTATGCATCATGACTACGAACACCGTCCACACTGGTAATTTTTGTAACAAGCGAACGAAATGCATGCAGCTGCGGGTTATCTTTTGCACAACAGCTGCAAAGATGGTGCGCTATCAAAATAAACTTAAAACTCGTGGGAAAAACAAAATATCGCATAGCCAGTTGATTTCACTTCGAGGAGTTGGAAATCATATAAGTAATGTGGACAGGAATAGGTGACGCAATGCGCGATAAACAAAAGAACAGAGATATTAAGTAGACTACTCATGGCATTGCTTATTGCGCGAAGTATCCCGAATTCGAAAGAATGAACCGACTCGCCTGCATCGCCATTTTTATTAAAGTAGGTATTTCTGTTTTATCACACTTTTCAACTTTTTTTTTAAAATAAAATCCCTTTCTTTTTTCTTTTTTTAACGCACCGTGTTTAAGTCTTAGCAAGTCTCCGCGAGAAGTTACGTCCTTTTACCTTGCCCGCCAAATTTAGCGGGTGTTCGCGGACATTACACGGCGAAGCATTACTCTTGCCCTTTGATATTTACCGCTAAATTTGGAGGGTTCTGTTCGCAGACATCAATAATGTCTCAGTGTCACTTGCAAAACAACAGCGGAACAAAATCCGATGCGTGTTTCGTGGACAGCATTTAATGGAGTGTCATGTAAGTTGTTACTGTCAGCGAGCCAAAAAAACGAACATTATCAATTTCTGTAATCCACGTAAATCAGCAAGATGTAAGTCAAGTGGACGTAATTTTTGCTAAAATAGTTACATAATAATAAAAAAAATTGGCTGCGTGTTTGGTCATTCTGACAAACGCGTTCTAACGCGGTAGCTTTATAGGGCAGGTGGTGCTCTTAGTCCAGCTGGTGCCTGCGGCAGGGTTTTGTACGGAAACAGATCGGGTCACACCACTGTCTCTTTGTGACGCTGCGCGCAATGTCCTGCAGCGCTCCCCGGGTACAAAGCCTTTGCGCTGAAGTTTCTGCGTCATCAAGAGAGGGAAGCGCTTTCTTGCCCTTTCCACGCCTCCTCGTCCCGCGCGCTCTTTCTACGCCACCTGTTTCTGCTCCTCTCTTTCTTGCCCTTTCTACTTCTCTCCGCTCAGCGCGCTTTCACGCACCACCTGCTTCTGCTCCTCCCGTTCCTGCGTGCCGGGTCCGTAGCTTAGTCAGCGGGGCACTCGGCTACCACGCCGGTGGCCGGAGTTCAATCCCTGGCGCCGGTTGCCGTCACTTTTTTTTTTTGATTGCTTAGCGATTACGGGTGCAAGAAATACTACATATTTCTTGTTTACGCGACTCCTGAAGTTGGTTGGCCCTTTAGAACTACCCCTTTAATACCACTATTACTTGACGATAAAATTACTATGTTATACTTTTCCTTAAGCTCTTACACTTATCTGCCTTTCCGCAGTAGCACTTTTTTTCAGCTTCCAGCTTGAAGAGTGTTCGGCCCCACATAGTTCGAAATTTTCTCGTTCTTAAGTTGCGTGTCTCTGTTAAAGACACACAAATAAAGAGGGGAGGGGGGGGGAGAGAAGGCTACAGGGATTCAGAGAAACAGACACTTGAAACAATCGTGCAAACGTTGAAAGCTTCCCCGCGACAATAATACGCCCAAGGAGCAGTCGATGTTGGGTAAAGCACATCTAAGGAGTACTTAAAAAAAGTACAAAATAAGAGGTTATGTACTTTATGTAAAGTAGTCAGTACACCGGGCGCAATGCACTTGAAGTAAAGTACCATATATACAATGTACTTTTTGAAGTAAAGTGCAAGTACTTTTTAAAACAGTATTTCATGATGCCATTTCATTCCCCTGTAGTGTTTCTTTTTACTCTTCTGCAGTGCCTTGGGGGTAATTTGGGGTGCATCAGTTATTTTCGGAAATGGCAGAGAATATTGGATAAAGCCAAGTGGCCACAGAGTAGTTGTTTTACTCTGGCTGACGAACTATTTAACGCAATCAACTTATAAACTTATATTGCAGTTGTTTGTATCGTTCTTATAGCTGCCATTACTTCACTCAGAAAAATGACCAGATGACGTCTCGAAAGACAACAGCGCGCTTTCACATAACACGGCTTCTTTATCTTCTTTTTTTTTTTTCAAATTTGTAAAATTTATTTTGAAGTTCTTTACTTTTTTTCGGAAAGTACATAAAATATTTTGGGTACAATTACATATTCAGAGAATGTACTTTAATTAAAGTACCCGTACAAGTTTTCTAAACCTGCTTGAACTAGTACTTAAGTACAATACACACAGCCACTTTTGGGTGTAAATATAGCTACGCACATAATACAGATACCTAGGATAATTCTTACTGGGACAATAAAAAAATAGAAAAATAAAAGTACAATAAGGAGTAAGCATAAAAGAGCAAGAAATCGTGAAATGTAAGAAACAGAAACACCTGCTAGCTTTACCATCCATTCTTCAAGTGGGCTTCCCCGCATTAACCATATATCTGAGGCAGAGCACCCTTTACAGGAACACACGCAGATTGCGATAACCTTTCTCAATGCGTTTCTCTAATGCGGATTTTATATTCCGCGAAGGGATGACAGCAAATTTGTTGTCCTTTCGCCGAATATCAATCTGAAAAACCCGATGCATACTGGACACCCAAATTAACCATTCACGATTATGACACCGTTTTGTTTTGCCGATAGTACCTCAACAAATGTATGCATGTATTTCACAAGAAAAAAAAAATCAATGTAAACAGCCCCGTTAAAAACAAACAAACAAAACGGTGCGTTTTTGTGTGTGTGTGTGTCTCTATACAGAGATGATTTGAAATGAGACTTGAAAAAGGATTTGAGTGTCTTGTAACGCTCTCACTCGTCACGCAGCTCGTTTAGACGAGCCAAGTCAGACCGACCGGGGATTACGTTTGAGTGGCGCTACGCCGAGTTGCGCTATCGCCGACGTCGCTTATCATATAACTTTTTTTTTTTCTCTTTACAACGAACTGGAACCAAGGACAGCTCATCGCTGTGGATATTACAAGGTTAACGAGAAGGAAAGTTTTTGAGTCGTTATGATTGCGCCTCCCCCCCCCCCCCCCCCCCCCCCCCCCCCCCCAGAAAAAAAAAAAAAAAATATATATATATATAAATTAACAAAAAATAAAAATGAAATATAAATGTTTGGGCATTTTGCCAGAAAAGATGGCGAGCGCGCGCCATTTCCGTCGCACCAAGGACTCCGCGTCCCTGCAATCCCCCGTCCCGGAGAGACAGAAATTGAGGTCCGACCTCTTGAGAAATAAAATAGGAAAACAAAAAAGGAAATCATATTTCGCCACAGAAAACCCGACGGAACCCAATTCCAAGCCCGCTTTAATGAAGGGTGACACGCTAGCTGAACGACGCCACTCACTGCACCGTCTCCGGCCAAGCGGAAGCGATGGGGACACGCAGCGGATAACGAGGAAGGGTCAGCGTTGCGTGCTTGTGTTCGCGACGCGAAAACGAGATAGAACCCAAGCAAATGTCAAAGCCACAAAAGAAAAAAAAAAAAGGTTGCGGAATGTCTTTCTCGTTCAGTGTGTTGTGCCTGGTTAAGAGAGTGTACCAAAAAAAAAAAAGAGGGGGGGGGGGGGTGGGAACCTTATTTTTTAAAGATCTTTCTTCCGCGAATGTCGAGTACGAGACTCGGTATGAAATGCAAACTGGGATCGATGCGGTCCAGTCGACAGCTTCTTTCGTAAACTTGCGTTTGTCGCGCATACTGTCGCCCTACCATCGTTCGAGGAAAGCAAAACAAAAACGTGCAAGACGCCGTGCAACGAACACCGCCATTAGGCCAACTTCTCAATCCCGAAACGTAAGAAGATAGTGTCAGCTGACCAACTCCCATAAACGCTTGTTTTCCGGAGACATGGTCCTCCTCCCTCCTAAACTCTGTCACCAGTTGACTAAAGCGCCACTGTTCCGGACCGTTGCGGCTGTTTTCTCAACTTCCGTCGCGGAGACTCATCGCAGCGTGCGGGCAAACGCGGCGCTTCAATCAACTGGTGTCGAACGAGGGGTGAAGTACTTGTTCCGTGGCTCGCCGAAATATTTCCAACTGAGCTGAGCTAAGAACGAAACAAATTAGTCGTTAGATGTTCAGACATCGTGAGGTTAGTCTGTCAGAGGATCGCGACATTGTTACCCGCTGTACGTGAGAAATTTAGTCCGTGCAGTAAGAATACTAGCATGGAGTCTCTAACGACCATCTCGCAGTAGTGGTGCACCACCGCACGACGGCGCGACGTTCATCCACATTGAAACGGGCGGAGGTCGGATTTGAGCCCAATCCCTAACTCTGCAGCGCGAGTTTCTTTTTTAGAGCGCAGCTCTTAGGCGCCGCTCCTGGCTTAAGCGGCGTCGGCGTCGCCGTCGCCGTCGGCGTAACCGTAAGGTCACGTGATCCCCCAGGTCCCCTTCAGGTCACGTGACCCCTTCACCTGAAGCCCCCTTCACGTGACCTGAAGGGGTCACGTGACCCCTTCAGGTCACGTGACCTGGGGGTCTCGGAGGGAGGAGGGATATACCCTCTCCTCAGCACCCTTCCCTCCTCTTCCTCAAGAGCTGCGCTCCAATTCGGCGTTAGAGGAGGTTGTATACGGCTTTCTTTTTTTTTTTTTCGCTTTACATGCTTTGAGTTGCTCTGCACAAACACGCTCGCCCACCGATCCTCCTCAGCTGAGTTAATACTGTTAACAAAAGCATAGGGTATGCATGTCGGAGCGCGCGTGCACCGGCGTGACAGCTCTACAGGTTACACATGGACGAAACACCGTCGGCCTTCAACGGTGCCACCGCGCGACTCACCTCTGAGTTTGAAGTTTTCGACGGTGTTGACGATGATGTGGCCAGAAAGCGTCTCTCCGGCGTAGTACATCTCTTTCTCCAGCCGGATGTCGAATTCCCGAATGTAGTCCATGGCGGACAGCACCTGCAAATAACCACCCCGCCGTTATGGTACACAGTCAAAGTGGTATAGTTGCTATCGTTTCGTTTTTGAAGACCGAACGCAGTGATCACACTTCGAGCTGATGGGGGAGGAGATCAAGCTGCCTCCCCAAAAGCGCAACGTCGCGGCCCTCAACATGTTTCATGCGCGTCTGCTACAAACCGCTAAATCAATTGAGCTCAGGGAGTGCGCCGTGAGCTTGCGGTCTTAGTGTGTGAGTGTGTTTGTGCGTACGTGCGTGTGTGTGTGTGTGTGTGTCAGGGTTTGTATATTCCTAGCTTTCAGCTGCGCTGAGACTTATGGCCGCGCAAGATATGGTAACTACGTTGCAGCGTAAAAATTCTAAATCCGCCATCAATACTGCCTACACGTCGAACAAAAGACACTGTCTACTAAATGATGACAAAGTGGTAGGGCGGACGCGCCCCAAGCATTTGCCGAAGTACGTTGGCTTTATACACATTATGTGTGCTTCGAACATGTCTGCAAACAATGCCAGCGCCATGTCTTTTTTTCTTTTTTTTTTTGCTCAGGATGTGTTCCAGGGGACGCTTCTTTCGCACGTCCCCTTGGCTCAGTCACGTGACAACAGGGATCACGTGAACTCCTACGTGCCCCCTCCCCTGCCCCCGGCCTAAAAAGTTCCTGTGTTCACGCTCGACTGTGTTCATCTCCTCCCCAGCGTTTCTCTCTCCCTGCTTGTGGTTAGTTTTTTTGTGGGCTTTCTGTTTGTTAGTTTTATATTTGTTTCTTTTGAAGGAACGGGTGGAGGATTTTTTTTTCTTTTCGAAAAACGAAATTATGTTGGTGGAGTCGAGCGCGCAACATCGGATATCGACGAAGAAGAAATCGTGCTACGGAAGTACGCCCAACATCTCGACAAGATAAAATGACAGAATTTGTCGTAAAATAAGCCCCCGGAGAAACACCCCGGAACTTTAAGAATAATAAGCACCAGAAATGTCTGAACGGATGCTTTGTACGATTTGTAGAGAAGTGAACGCCCGATATTCTCGATCGCATAAAACAATCATACCTTGGGCTATGAGTTCGCAGCACGGTTAGAATATAACAACAAAATATGTGAAACGCAAAAGTAAAAACGCAAGTAGAAAAATATTTTTTTTAAAGACAGCACTCATTACCTCGCTGCATTTGACCACTCACCGAGACGTAGTTGGGTGATTTCAGATAAGATCGACCAAAGGATGGCTAGTCGACATTTTCAAATCAACTGATGTTTTTATATGTTATTGTCTAGTGTCTGGTATGAACGAATCCAAACTTAGTTTTGACTAGAAAAAATACTTGGGGACAGGAAAAATCGTAAGGCATGAGGTGGTGGACAGTTGCATTAACGCGCACTGATGGAGGGGGCCCGTTTGAGAGTGAATAACTAAAGCGATAACATTAGGAGAACTCTAATACGTTTTAGGCGCAAACTATGGGTATAGCTTGCTTGTAATATAAAGTAATCATATTTATTTAAAATTTATTTATTTTTCTAAAAATTGACAAACATGCCTGCTCGAACGACAAATGGCAAACTTTGGAGGTCTGTATCTCATGAAATAATTTAATCATTATGATATAATTTGCAGATATTATTCTACTAATATATAGCTAATATTTAAAAAAATAACTAAGGTATCTGTGTGATACAATAGTTAGGATATATTTAGTCAAACATGGAAAAAAAATCAAACAAAGAAAAATTCCGATGCAAATAAAAAAAAAAACACCACCCTCGATTTTTTTTAAATTTAGGTAACCTGTTATACTCTATTTCGGCATTCATTTCCATTAAAAACATGTTGCATCATTTTATTGAGAAAGAAGATACAACTCCCCAAAGTAGGGTCCTTTTTCAAAGCCTACACTTAGCAGTGTTTTATACAAGAACTGACTCTGAGTTCCAGTTTCATGAAACCAACACAGATCTTTTATATATTTTTATTCAGATGAGGCCAATGATAACTAAAGAAATCGTTCACACACTTAAATTAAGGAGAAACTACTGTGTACAAAGAAGTATCATATTACGGACTAGTGATCCGAGAAAAGATCATGCAGCCATCGGCCACTAGGAACTTTGTTTACTTCATTCTCCTGCGACACTATATGCTATTCCCTCTTCCGCTCTACCTTCATCTCTCTCTCTCTCTCTCTCTCATATATATATCCCTGATATATATCCAGAACAAAAACGTGTTCAAGCATTCCCTTTCTGCGTGGTAGTGTTCTGTGGCTAGCAAAAATCATTTCCTCGCTAAGCTCACGATTATGGCAAAATAGTTGCCGGAAACCGCAGACGACACTCGTCGCTAGTTCTGGCAAAACGGCCGATACAATCTTTTTTTCGCATTTCCCCGCTCGCTGTCAAGGACAAGGGGGTTCGCTTCAACCAGCAAAACATGGCCGCCGACGCCTGTTTACTGAGCAGTCATGCCTGTCGCCATCTCACTCGCTGGCGTCACGGGCGATAATATCAGGCACAAAGGGGCACACCAACCGGCAGCATTATCCCCAAATACTCGAGCCTCGCGTAAATACATAGAGTGTAAACGCTGTCGTCATGTTATCGTAGTAAGACCGCCCCCCCCCCCCCCCCTCCCCCAACGGGGGACTGCAGTACGCGACGGCGTACTAACACAACGGCGACGATATCGACATCGCGGGCTCCGAATTTTTCCATAGTTCTACTCCACGGGCATTTCTCGAAACGCTTGATATTGTGTACGCCCGCCCGGAAGGATTTCAGGCGCGTAGTTAAGATAAGGCGGTTCTCCGCGGCAAAAGAAAGCAATTTCACGAAAGCTTAAAAGCGGCGGCGACGCGTGTGCGGTGAACGCTTGTAGTTTTGGTGTAGACAGGGTGTGTGTGTTCTCGTTGTTGACACCAGCCGGCGATAAGGCACTGCAGGCGGTAGCTCAGTACAGCAAGGGCTAATCCGAGTGACCATCAACGTAACCCCACCGCCAACCCCTCGCGAACCGGTCGCCGACATGGCTCAGGCTGTGTCATGAACCACGTGGTAGAAGCTCGGGTGCTTTCATATCAGCGCGTGGAGGGACGACAGTGCGATTCCGGAAAGTCTTTTTCGAAGGCCGCTGACCACAATTTTTTGTCTGGAGACTTTCCCTCTTTCTTCCTTTGACGTGGATCAAGCTTTGCCGACAGCCTCAGTTGTGACCTCTCTTTTCAAATGTACGTTTGCAGTGAGTGAGCTCCTCAGCCTCGGACTTGTCACTTGTGCACCCAGTAGTTCTTTCACTTGGAAATTATATGCCATCAGTTGGGGTTTAATTTCTATTATTTATGTATACATTATGAAGACGTCCTGGAGCTCCGAACGAGTGTTTTGTGCAGATTACTTTTGCAAACACAAAAAGACTATACCAAAGCAGCGGAATTTTCGAAGTGTTGGCGGGTTGGACCTAAACTCGTTGAGGCAAATTCTTCCGCCTGACTGTTCCACCAAAGTGAGTGCGACGGACTACCTGTGCTACCATTGCTTCATGCACATCACTAAGGAGATCTCGATGCGAAGCTCAGAGCAGTGCCCTGACATATTTGTGCCAGCTGAAGAAGCAATTGAAGATCTAAATCGCAGCATACTACCTACAGATGTGTCGCCGCTGAGACAACCAAGCGTCGTAAGAAGTCGGGACAGGCCTGCCTATGTCAAGAGAAAGCAGACAGAACTGGAGCAGGTTGCTGTCAAGAATATACGCTCAAGGCTACGTATTGCGTACGACAGGGACGCACCATCGGGGTCGTCCGAACCAACATGCTCCACATGCACTGAGTGGGTGGACAACTTTCGGCAGGCCTTTGAAACCGCCACCTCTCTCCGGGAACGTTGTCAACTGCTTACACTCCTGCCGTCAACACTGACGAAGAATGAGGTTCAAAAGATGATTCCACAGGCCTCAATGTACCTCATCAGTAAATCCCGAAAACTCAAGGAAAAGCATGGCGTGTGGTATGAGCCGGATCCTTACACGAGGTGCAAGGTGAGCCCTGAGAACCTGTCTGCTGCCCTAAAGTACTTCACGAAAGACGAGCTACAATGTTCGCGCCAAAGTCCCAACCAGAAGGACGGAATCTCTGTCATGCTCAACGGAGAGAAAACGTTCGTGCCAAAGCGCTTCATGACACGCTCAATACGAGAGGCCTTCCGTATATACAAAGACAAGCATCCCGATTCCGGCGTTGGGCTAACGAAATTTTATTCGTTGCGCCCTAGATGGGTCCAATGTATTCCACACCAGGAAGTGTGCGTTTGTGTGCGCTGCGCCAATTATTATCTTTGTATTGCCGCTCTAGAGAACGTTACAGGCTCAACATTCAACACTGGTGAAATGAACTCGGCATTTCTGTGCGACCCAGCAACAGAACTGTGCCTTCAAGGAGACTGTGATCACTGCCCAAAAGGCCAGTTTCTAACACTCCAGGAACTTGATATCCCGGAGGATGAAGAGATTGTGCTTGCAACATGGGAGTCCGGCGACCTTGTGAAAAAAACTTTGGAACCTGAGACTTTCCTAAAAGTCATCCAAGTGATGGTTGGAAGTTGGGTACTTCACAACCATATCCGGCAAACGCAAGGTAAAGCGATCTACGATGAAAAACAGTGCATGCAATGCGGGAGCATTGTCTTTCATTTTGACTTTGCTGAAAACTGGACCATCGTGCTTCCTGACGAAGTGCAAGCATATCCCTGGAAAAAAAAAAACAAGTTTCGATATTTACATGTGTAGTGACGACAAGAAAATCTACAAACAGCTTTGCCATCATCAGTGAGGACCTGTGTCACGACGCCGCTCACGCTTGCTTGGCTCTAGAAAAAGTGAAGGAGTGGGTTGAAGACAACGTTGCGGTATACTCGTACGTGACGTACGTAAGTGACGGCGCCGCCAGTCATTTCAAGAATCGCTACCAGCTTCACCAATTTGCAAAGGACGATTGCTCACAAGCCC